TAATAGATGGAAGAATGTCGGAAGGTTGGGTGATAGTGGGATAGGTGGACAGCAACTCCCCATAAGGACCAGGACGAAGCTTACGTAAAATAGGACTAATGGAGACTAGGGTAGTTGCCTGGCCATGGACGGTGAAATTGCTTTCCAGGTCAGTCAAAAGACGACGGCGTGTGTCAACGGATAGACCAAAGTGCTGCAGGAAGTCCATTCCAAGAATAGGGAATGGAACATCAGCGACGAGGAAGCCCCAAGTGGTTACTTGGGGCAGGCGAATGTCTACAACCATAGGTCCCAATAGGGGATCAATTGGCGGCGGCCAAGACAGGGAAAGGTTGGGGGACAAGGATTCTGTGGTCGTTGGTGGGACCACACTATTTTCGGCTCCTGTGTCCACTAAAAGATAAGCCCCGGTTAGCCTATTTTGAACATGAAAGAGGCGGCTACCGGGTCGAGGGCCAACGGGTAGTGCCGCATCTACTCGTTGCCCTTTCCTTTTCCCTGCTTGCCGGTCCCCGACCACTGGCACGGGGCAATACACTGGCGTGCTTGGGCATTCCATTTGTGGTGGTACCAACATAAGGGTCTGCGGAGTGAGGCCGAGGGTGAGCGCCTAGAGATGCCACGTGACCGGCTTCGGCGCCGGTGGAATTGTTGACAGGGCTGTGAACTAGCCTGTTTAATTCTACCTAGGCGAGCCGAGATAGCGGCCAGTTGAGTGGCAAGAACGCTCGGCTGGTCGGCTTTGTCCGCTAGGGCAGAACAGGTAAAGGTGGTACCCTGAGAATAAAAGGCCATAGTGTTGTCAGCTACTTCGGCTGCAACGCTGAGAGGACAACCAACGCATGATGCCAGGACCATGCAGACAGCCTTTGGGAGCTTCAGAACCCAGAGTTCACGAAGCAAGTTGTCATCGACCTTAAAGGGGGCAAGGTCTTGCTGCATATTGCGCAGGAGTTGGGAAGGCTTGAGGGAGCCCAGGGTCATTCCCTGGACTACGTTCC